CATGTGGTGTGTGTTTGCGCATGTGTGTACATGTATGCATGTACTGGGTGCATGTGGGGGGTTGTGCATGCATGTGGGGTATGTGTGTGTGCGCATGTAGGGGCATGAGTGCATGTACCCTGGGGAGGATGAGCAAAAGCGGTGCATGTGGGGTGAGACAGAGCCAAGAACTACGCCTGGAATGGCAACCGGGAGCACGGTGGGGGTCTGCCCAGCTCCAGTCTGAGCGGGCCCGTGGTCTGGGTCACTGCCCTCATGCAGCCCTGAGAGGGAACGAGCCCCCTGCCCCTGAGCCCAGGCAGCTCTGAGCTGTGCACCCAGATGTCTCTACTCCAGAGAATGGGGGGCAGCCCCTCCCTCTAGGGTTCTGGGCCCCTCTGCTCAGCTCCCATCCACTGAACCCTGCATGCAGCTCTGGGTCCCCAGTCCCTGAGAAGAGGGTGCCCCCATCCCTATAGGGAGCTGGGGACGGACACACGCACACGGGACACCATGCTCCTCTCTTCCCCCTCCCCTCAGACCTTGCACTCAACTCTGGGGCTCTCGGTCCTCACATGGAGGGAGCTCCAGGAGCTGTGTAGCTGCCTGAGGGTGTGTCAGTGTGTGGGGACAGGCTGCAGAGCCCCAAGAAGGGAGAGGAGCTTAGTGTAGCCCTGGGGGTCTGACTGGATCATGGGGTGTGAGTGACTGAGCAAAGGGGAAGAACGCCAGGCGCTGCTGGTTACTGGACGGTGCTACTGGGAGGTGGTGGGAGCTGCATTGCTCCAGCCATTTAAACTGGATAAAGCCCTGGGTAGCCCTGTATTTGCAGGAAGTCGGGGGGCAGGGGCCTCTTCTGGCCAGATTCCTGCCATGGTGGCTCGGCTGGTTCGCAGCACATTTTCTGCAGGGCTGCGACTCACTTGTGCGTCTGGCTCGGCATCTAGGTCACTGCCAGCGCTTAACAGAGAATGAACAGTAGGGATGGAACAAGGCAAGAGACAAGGTGTCTCCTAGGTTGCATGGGAGCTCCCAGGGGGGCTGTGCCTCTGTCCGCTACATTCTCACTGGCCGTTTGCAGTGGTTCCGAACTTCCATAGGCCAGTTCCCCTTGCGCTGGGATTCTCCAGCCAGGAGAGTGGCCCAGAAGTGCATTTTTCCCCATTATTATTATTTTAAAGTTTGGGCAAAATCAGTTCATCCTATTTAGAGTTAAGTGGGGCACGAAAGATACTTCTGCATGTTCCAGTCAGAAGTGGGCTCGGGAACTCTCGGACGTCTGGCTGTAGGAGCTTTGACTCAGATGGGCTTGTAGACCTCATTGAACCTTTGGAGACAAGCCAGCCTTGAGAGTCAGTTCAGTAATTGCCAGGTTCATACTTGCCTTAGCAGAGCTTTCTTGTTTGGTTTCTGAAAGACAAGGGCGGGGAGGGAATATCTTTTATTGGACCAAATTCTGTTGGTGAGAGAGACGAGCTTTCAAGCTACACCGAGCTCTTCTTCAGGTCTGGGCAAGGTTAAAACGCTGCATCAGCGCAGCTGCACTGACACAGCTGTGCGGCTGCAGTGCTTAAGGGCATGTCTACACATACAGCGATGCAGCGCGTCTGGTGAAGACGCTCGATGCCGATGGGAGAGAGTGCTGCTGTCCGTATAATAAAGCCACCTCTGTGAGCAGCGGTAGCTGTGTCGGTAGGAGAAGCTCTCCCCCCAACAGCGCTGTGCACACCGGGGTTCTGTCAGTGTCACTTACATTGCTTGAGGGATGGTTTTTTCACACCCCAAGCGACATAAGTGGTAGTGTAGACATAGCCTAAGTGAAGAGGCTCCTATGCCGACGGGAGAGCTTCTCCCATCGGTGTAGTTAATCCACCTCCCCGAGAGGCGGTAGCTGTGTCAGCAGGAGAAGGTCTCCAGACTTTTCACACCCCTGAGCGACATAGCTACGCTGACCTAGGGCCTCAGAGCACACAGCTCAGTGCAAGGTGGAACAGATTGTTTAGCATAAGGAGTTAACACATCTTTCAAGGGACCATGCAAGGTGAAGGTGCTTTGAAGCAAAATCTTTTCTGTTGCTTTATCTAGAGTGATTCCCAGTGGCTGCTGTTCCCCTCTCACGGTGGCTGGAGCTGCTTGAACAGCTGGTGGTGTCCCAGCTAACTCAGGGCCCTGCACCCCCGGCTTCCTGCGATTCCCCATGACTCTCAGCCAGCCAGTAAAGCAGAAGGTTTATTT